TTTTTTTTTTTTAGAGTATGGGTGATTTTTTTTGTTTTTGCTTTATTTTTAGGTTTTACTTGTTCGTTTTGAAAATTGAAAGGAAGTCCACAGAACACTTATTTGTAGAGCTGTTAACAAAAGCTCCTGAGGAAAAACAATTCAAACTATCTTTCCCTAGATAATCTAAGCAAACATCCAGAAGAGTAAATATATAATCCAAGGCAGAATCATCTAAAGGTCTTCAGGGTTACAGATGGGTAAGTGGGTAATGTGTTAAAAATTAATCCACAATGGTCAATGAACATTATTCCAGATTAAGGGAACTCTACATCATANACCAACATAATGGGGGCTTTGTTGTACTTTAATCCCCATCTTTCCTAACTGCTCAGCAGCCGTTAAAAGGGGGTATATGCAGCAATGATAAAAGGCTTTAAGTAATAACACTGAATGATGTTTACAGGCCAGAGCCCTGGACCAGTTTACGGGGAAATGCCCCCAGAAGACAAGAAGCTGAATTTTGATTTAATAATTTAAAAATAAAATCCCAAATACGCAGCAGCAGAAAAAAAATCAAATGCCAATGGTCACTGTTAACTGAAGTCCTGAGGTGGGTTACCCACGGACCCTCAGATGTGGACTAACCGTGGCCCATTTCCGTCTGGGCATAGGTGCCAATTATCTGGAGTCCTTTGGATGAAAGCAGCCATTTCTCTTGCTGAGCAGTGGTGCCCTGATTCAACAAGGTAGGAATAAACATGGAGTAATTGAGGCCCACAGGTTCCACAAAATTGACCAAATGTAGTCTATAGGAGAGAAAAGAAAAGGATCTCAGCCTTACTCTAGAAACTGCATTCTACCATCCATTCTTGCCAAACAACCTTGGCCCTCAGGATGAAGGTTAGGAAAATTTAAACCCCGTTCTTACGAAGTTAAACGTAAAATTTACCATTTAACTACCTAATAAGCCAACTGCAGAACCTAGTGGTATCCCTTCTCCATTTCAGGGCCAGAATTCCTTTTAAAATTCTACACTTAATTCAGGAAGTAAATTCTATCTGTTTTAGACTAAAAACCCCTTTTGTTTATTTTTGGTTTTGTTGGTATTATTTGCTGGTTTGATTGGTTAGATTTTTTTTTTTTTAGAGTATGGGTGATTTTTTTTGTTTTTGCTTTATTTTTAGGTTTTACTT